CCTGGATTACGGGTTTCATGCCGTTATGGCAGGCAAAAAAAAAGATTATATATGGGTTTCGAGCTCAGATTATGGTGTTTTTTGAGGTTATGGCGGAACTCCGACCCGATGGGGTTTAATGGACCTCGGATTCGGATTCAGCGACCTCAAAAACATATAATAAACATGGTCTGATCCCCAGGCCAAAGAAATTTTTTTTTTTTGTGTGGCTGTGTAATTATTATGTAGACAATAAGTAACAATACAATTTTTTCTTTTAACTATTTTATACTATAAACTACCTAATAATAATAACGTAAAACAAATACAATACTCATATAATTTTATTCTTTTTTATCATTTATTAAAACTTGTTACAACAAAAAATTTATACCTTATGAAGTGCAACAAACACTGCGCTTTCATACATAAAGACAAATAATATAAATAACAATATAAATAACAATGTAAATCACAGTAAAAATAACAATATAAATGTGCAAACAATAAATTAGAAAATGTATAAAAAATAAAGAAATATGTAAAATTAACATATGTATCTTATATATAAAGAACAATGAGCAAATATTTAAGCGTATCGCCATATTCACAGAAGTTTTATAATAACTTTTTTTAATCTCCTAACTAGTTGAACATACTTTACATTTAATCGATTATTAATACGCATCTTCTTTTTGTTCTTTAACAAATTCTGTATTCACTGTCCGATATTCACTGTCAATACTACAAATCTATACTTTACGTCACGTGTGCTATAGATTTCCAGTGCCGGCAATAAAGATCGAAACGCAGCTCATGTAAGTACGAGAGAAAGAAAGAAGGAGGAAGAGAGAAGAAACATACGAGTCATGCACGAGAAACAGGCTAGCAACTAGGCACGCTTCTCGCGACTGGCAGTGTTAGCTATAGCTATCGCTACAGCGAAAAAAAGAGAGCGGTTATGTATGTCCGTCTCCTTCTACTGCTCGAAGTTGGCCAAAGCGCCGAGCACACACGTACACGGCTGTTCGACTATGTGCCTATCCCCTCCACTTGCTGCTGCATGCTGCAAAGTACAAAACTGGCATCTCTGGTTACCGTCAACGTGCCGAATTCGAATGGAATAAATTTACCAAACTGATCTCTTATATCTATTTCTATCACGCGGAAATTTGTTTTACGAAGCAGAATATAATTTCCAGACGAGTAATGTTTCACCTGATTAGAACCGTACTTATTTGTGGTATTGTTAGTAACTATTTGAAGAAGCGGTGTTAGCGTATCTCCGGTTATGTATGGCTCGCAAATGTCGCAATAAACAAATAACTTCGGGGATAGCACGAGCCAAGCTGATTGGTTCAAAACTATCGACATCGGCATCTCTGTCTACTACGAAAGGTGTATTAACAGAAAATGTTTCAAATCCGAGTATACGACGCAATTTGTCGCTAAGCTTTACACTATGAATTTGATTGCATTTGTCTTCTTTACATGTAAGCGATATAGAAACTTTATTACCATATAGAGGATTCAGCGACCATGTAATATGTGATTTTTCTTGAGAGCACGAATAATTTATAGCTTCTATAAGATCAGCTTCTGAAGAATAAATTCCCGAAAAAATTGAAATGTTAACTGACAAAATATCGCCGTTAGGAAAGGTATTCGCGAGCGTTATCAGAGCTTCATCTTCGCGTAAATGTAAAAAACTAGAAGGAAACTGAATCTCTCGCTGAGAGCAACTTCCCATTTTCCCTGCAAATCTATACGGCGAGGTAATTCCGTGGTAAAACACAAAGTGGTGTTGTGCGGGAAGTAAAGCATACTGCTATTGCTCGGGAGAACTACGAAAAAATGTTTCTCCATTGTCATCATCATTGTCGCCATCATTGTCGTCGCCTTGTGCAAGCGTTGTTAACCTCGAAGCCGGAATCCACGAGTCGAATTTAGACGGATAACCTTGCCAACTGACTAGCAGTTGCCTATTACGTCCCCGACCTTTGCTCTTTATGACCCGATCAACGATGAAAGTTTCTTCTTGTAAGTTTTTAACAACAGGAGCCAGTTCTTGCTCGTAGAAAATTCCGTCTATAACTTCATCCGCTAAATCACTCAGCTCGTAAACGCGCGGATCTCGCCACTCGAGAACACGATGAATTCGAAATATCTCTTCGCTCCACTTGGCCTTGTATCTCTTCTCAAAGGCGGCTTTTGCTCTACTAACACGTACGAGATCGTCGACGGAGTATTTAGCTGCTTTCGCTTGCTGTTTTTTCCAGCGATGCCACGTGTTTTTGCGCGCAATATTCGCGTTTTCCACCGTAACATCCGCGGGTTTCATGCGTATGGAAGAGTGCGGCGTATGGTTGTACGCGTGCACAATATCCTGCAAGACATCGAGGTAACGTTTCATGTTTTTGTGCGTGAAGTAGCGCCACATGCGCTCTTTTAGCGTTCTATTGAAACGCTCGATCACGGCTGCTTTAACGTCGGGATTACGCGCCACACGGAAACAAATTCCTTTTTCCTTGAGAAATTTTTGCAGCGGATGTGCGATAAATTTTTTACCTTTGTCAGTTTGCAGATATACGGGTCTTTGTCTGCCACTTCTCGAGAGCATGCGTTGAAACGCACGAAGGACTTGAGCAGTTGTTTTGTCTCGCAACAGTTCCACCCACGCGAATTTGCTGAGCACGTCGATAACTGTCAGTAGATAGCAATATCCGTCGTTATAGCTTCGCAAATTTCGCAATTCTATCAAATCAGCCTCCCAGTGATCGTCGACATTCGTCACGTTGTAATGCAGTCGGGGAAACTTTTGTTGCACGGGACGATGTAGCGTGTAAGCATCTTGCGAACAAAGCCAGCAAACAACGTCTTTGCGCGAGTAATTCGGTTTAGCGGCTCGCGACAAATTTCCCGACGACGAGTAACCAGCGTAATGCGCGGGATTAGAATGCAACTTGTCAAGCGTTTCGTTTACATTTCGTCCCACGTGAGCAGCCGTCTCGGAATTCCGATTCGTATCTTTTTCTTGTTCTTGTCGGTGACGCGGTAATCCCATCCTTCTTCTTCTTCTTCGGCTTCTTGTTCAATGCTATGCGGAGATTTGCGCTTTGTTTTTTTTCCTTCTTTTCGCAAAAAGCGTAAATATTAAGGATTTCCTACGTACTGAGGAGGCATGTTTATGTCGCAAAGTAAATAAGCGAAATGAATGGCCCCAATTATTCCAGCGGTTTTTCTTTCTCACATTACATCGTTTACGAGTTTCACAATATTCGCTCCCACCAATTTTGGACTCTTGGTCACGACGCCGCGTTTGTTCCATGTGATCTTGACAGGAACAGCCGTTTCGATCAGATGATTCAAAAGCATTCGCGCTTTGGGGCGGTAACTTTTTGGAATTGTTTCCATTATGTTTGTTATAGTTTTTCGTTCGCGAAAGCTCGTTGCGCTGCAGTTGTTAAATGAAATATCTGCAAACAATACATTTTTCTTCGGAGTTGACTGATTAATCTGTTGATATTGATTATTATTATTATTGTGTCGCAAGGGTGTTGAATAATGTTCTGGTAAAACAAAGGATGTTTGAGGCAAAGCGTCCATTGGTTCTTCCGCGTCGAGAAATAGTTTTCTCATTTCCTCGTCCTCCTCTTCCTCTTCCCCCTCTCCGCCAGTCACAGCAGTTGTTTTCGCCATGGATGGATCTTCTTCCTTGCGAGAACGCTTTCTCGCTTTTTGGATAAAATATAGATATCGACGAAGTACTTCGCTGTACAATTTCCATTTTTCACCTTCATCAACAAGGGAATCGAGAATACGTCTCATCTCCGCGTCGAGACGCGAGAGCACGGTTCCGGAAGTGCGTGTGGTAGTAGCGGTGTTTTCTTCCGCCATTCGTTGTTGCATTCTTTCAAGATTATCCGTGGAAATCAGCACCATTTTTTTTTAGCCCGTTCCATGATTACTCAATAATTCGAGATAATAAAGCTGCGAGTATGGTCCCAATGATGTATGGCAAAAAGCCTCCTTGTTGCACCAGCAGCTTTCTCTTGCACCTCCAAGTACTTTTTTCGCGATACGTCGAAGCACCGTTTTGTATCGGATTAAGCGGTTCTTCTCTTTTTTTTCGAGCGGTACGTTACCTCTGAGCGTATTGTGGACACACTCGCAAATACACGCGATGAATTTGTTATCAGCGTTTCGCAGAAAAGCAGCGCGTTGATTTTTATTTAGAAGACACAGAGCTTTCAGTAGACAGATGTTTTTTTTACCGAGAGAGCGCTTAGCTCTAATATGCGCCCTTTGTTGCTTCTTCCGTTGCTGCTCCTTTGTTGCCGACGACATCGTAGCTTCGAATAATGCCCTTCACTCGTGTGCTTCGGGTTTTTATACGCTTGTTTTCACGCGAGGGATCTGCGTACGTACACGTAATGACGCGGATCGTTGGGAAAGATACACGTTTGAAAACGATATTCGTTCGGTGGTGATTGTTTCAAATTGAGCAGTAAATAACCGTGAGAACGCGAAGTGGCGTCGTAGTACGCCTCTTCCAAAAACTTTGCGTCGTCAGGATAAACTTGACGCGCGAGATGGCGAATTTACGCGCGATCGCGCGGGTTCTTGAAAACCACAGTGTAATTCGCATTCAGCGAAATATTGCGTTGACCGCGTCTCTGATAAATGAGATTCTGTAAAATAAGTATAACGTTGAGATTTTTATGATGGCTACCCTTGGTAAACAAATCAATGATCACTTCGCACGACGACAACTCTCGCATAAGATCGTCGATTGTTGTTAATTTCGCACAAAGCGGGTCGTTCAAGTAATCTTCCGGGCGGGGTAGTCTTTCGAGAAATTCGATTTTACAGTTTTCCGTCGTCATCTCGCGTTGCAACTCAAGATAGGCTTCTTGCCACTCGCCGTAAGAAAATAAAATTTTCCCGAGTCAAATATTCGCCATTTCCGGCAAATAACGGAGAAAAGTCTTTACAAAAATTGTTTTCTTGCATCCCGTAGGTCCGCAAACGATCGACGTCCAGGGATGTTTCNAGCGCACGTCCATTTCAAAGACTGTGCAAATTGCCGCTCGTAATACTCTTAAATGGAACTGTTATGTTTGCGACGACGATTAGTTCACCATCGCGCGTCGGGCCCCGCGGCGGCCGCGGTTCAGCGCGTTTTGCCGCGACAACGAGCTAATTTTCGTCGCGGCAACGGACGGTGAGCTTATTCCGGATGATTGAAAAGCTGTTTTCATGAAAAATCAGCTTATTGTCGCGCGCGCAAAAATAAGCTCGTCAAACGCGCGCGCCAATTTAAGCTTATAGCTTTTTGTTGAAGTTATATCAAAAAGGCAGTTTCTAAGGATAAAAGAAAACAGAGATCCGGAAAAAGCAATCTTTTAATTTTGTTTTAATAAAAATTTAATAACACTAAAATATTACGTTTGTAACGAAGCCGATTTCTTCGGCTTCGCCCGGCTTTCCGCTTGCCGGACAGCTCGGTCGGCGCCAAGGTTCGGGGAAGGGGAAGGCGAGAAATTGCGACACTTAATCAGGTTTATGCTGTAATGTACGTGTGATTTATTCAACAGCTTTAAATATATTTACAAAGCGTTTAATCCCGCGATGTTGGTCGATTAGATTAGTACGGTTTAGTTCACGGCGGAGTTCTTGTTGAGGACTTACGCGCTGTTTTAATAGACGCGATTGATAGATTTCGGTGCGGCGGGAGCCGTCGGCGCGGTAATTGCTTAATTCTAAGTCTGGGAAGATATTTACACGGGCCTTATATACAAGTTAGTCGTGAGAACGACTGTTTTCCAATGTGACGGTTACAACGGCCAGTTGTGCGCCAGAGCGCCGGAAGTCGAGAATCCCTCGACGGGAATGGTATGGCGGCCGAGTCAACACCTAGGATTGCCGGAAGTCGGTCTCTCGAGTCAACACCTCGAGGGGAACGGTCGGGATGGCGGCCGAGTCAGCACCTCGGATTGCCGGAAGTCGAGTCAACACCTCGACGGGAACGGTCGGTATGGCGGCCGAGTCAACATCTCGGGATCGGAAACGATATCCCGAGTCAACTCCTCGGAGAGCGGTAGCGAAATTGAAGTCTTGAGTCAGCACCTCGAGATCGGTCTCAGGGAAGTGGCTTTCGAGTCAGCTCCTTGAGCCGGGAAAGAAATAGGTCCTGACTGCTCAGATTGGCCGGCTTTTATACCCCGGAGCGGCCTACGGTCCGTCCGGGATCGGCGTGTGGAACGCGGGTGTTTGCGCTCTGCAGCATGCACTTGTGTGCTGATAAGCGCGTGTTCTGTCCGTGTCGCTATAGGCGCGTCGCCGATATTATAGTACGCAGTCGGTTGTATAGGCGGATCGCAGAAATTAGTGCGCGGGATATACTATATAAATATATTTGATAGTAATACAAAAAGTAATACAAAAATAAGAACACAGAAAATATATGATAATAATAATATAAAAATGATAAACAAGATATATATATATATATATATATATGTATACGTGACGGGGTTCGCCCCGTCACACGTTTTACAAAATGTGTACATATTGCTTAATCTACTAACATTTACAGAAAATCTCGCATTTTATAACCTTACTTTTACACGCGATTGTTAAAATAACTTATATATTTTTCTTTTATTGTACAAAGCGCTTGCTTACATTATGACCTATTTGGACGGAAAACATATATATACAATTTTAACTCTTACTAATACGTTTAAAATATACAAACTATTTACAAGAGAATGCGCGGAAAAAAGTTTTATTCCAAGTAGCCGTATGGAACGGAGCGTCGCTCGTCGATAAATCTACGCTTCAGCAAAACCGGCGAGCAGATTTTTGATTTGTCCCGCGTCACAACCTCGTGAAACGCGGTGCGGCGAATCGCTCTAAAATGCAAATTTATCGACACATTTTCTTCTTTTCTCTCTCTTCGCATTAACATTTCCCTAACGCTATTGAATTTACTTATGCGGGAGGTTGCGGAATTGAGAGTGTTTCTCTTAATTTTACATCTCCCGCGCGCCATCGTCCGGAGTACGAACTACGTACGCGTAAAATTTCGGGCCACCGGATACAAACGACTCGATGTAACTACCACGGCCGTAGCCTTCGAGCTCGTCCGTCATATCGCCCAAGAAATTTCCCGTACGCGGTTTGTATTCGCCGGGCTCTTCGCTGCTCACATAAATACAATTTGTATTGTAATAAAGAACGCGCTCGCCTAAACGTTTTAAATATTCGTACAGTTTCAATCGCGCCTGTGCCGTCGTGTACGCCGCTATTATTACGTTGGTAATCGGAAAGGGTACGACTGCTTCGTCCCGCATTTGCCATGAAACATATATTACCTCGTCATTTACAGGTAATATATCGGTTACCTCGTGCTCGGGGCTCGACAATAGCGATACGAGACGTTCCTGCCACTTTACCACCTCGGTCAAATTCGATCATTGCCCGAATTTTCCTCAAAACGAATTGAGGTACAGCTTTGCGGCCAAGCGTAAACCCGGATTTAGCGCAATGTTTGCTCTATCTAGAGCGATACCCTCGATTGCTTCGTATTCTCGAAGATATCGTTCTTTAGATTGTTTGTTTACGCATTCGCTCGGCCATCCGCTCGCCTCTTGCTTCAATTTCAGAAAACAGTTTATGTATTCGGCAAATAATCCCCCCTGACGCGTATCAGCGTCGTATCGGCTCGTCTCGTATTGCCATATCTCGCTCATTGCAGTCACGAGATAATCCTTCTCTACAGCTTTGTGTAATTCACACGATACCCACACGCCACGATCGCGCGGATTTTCGTGCGAGCACTGAGTCTGCGAGAAGTTTTCGCAGCAACTGCGGCACAAGGCGAACAGCAGTTTGCCCTGCACACAGTACGGGAATATAGGGTGAAAGAGATTGCGCGGAGGGAGCACTCTACAACGCACAAGCCCCTCGACCGCGGAAAGATCGACACCAGGCATCGCCTCGATGAGCGGGGCGCACTCTTTCTCTCCAACGAGAATTTTCGGATGTCCAGTCGGGAAA